GTGTCCTTTGCTGTACAGAAGCATTTTAGTTTGATATGGACCCACTTGTACATTTTTGCTTTTGTTTCCCTTGCCCGGGGAGATATGTTCATGAAGAAGTTGCTCATGTTTATATTCAAGAGAGTTTTGGCTATGTTTTCTTCTAAGAGTTTTATGGTTTCAGGTCTTTGAACCATTTTGAGTTTACTTTTGTGTATGGAGTTAGACAGTAATCCAGTTTCATTCTCTTACATGTAGCTGTCCTGTTTTGCCAACACCAGCTGTGGAAGAGGCTGTCATTTCCCAATTGTATATCCATGGCTCCTTTATCATATATTAATTGATATATATATTTGGATTAATATCTCGACAACCTATTCTGTTCTACTGGTCTATGGGTCTCTTCTTGTGCCAGTACCAAATTGTCTTGATTACTGTGGCTTTGTAGTAGAACTTGAAGTCTTAAAGTTGGGAAGTGAGATCTCCCCTGCTTTATTATTCCTTCTCAGGATTGTTTTAGCTATTTGGGGTCTTTTGTGGTTCCATATGAAATTTAGAACTATTTGTTCCAGTTCATTGAAGAATGTTGTCAGTATTTTGATAGGATTGCTTTGAATCTGTAGATTGCTTTAGGCAGGATGGCCATTTCGACAATATTAATTCTTCCTACCCAAGAGCATGGGATGAGTTTCCATTTACTAGTATCCTCTTTAATTTCTCTTAAGAGTGTCTTGTAATTTTCAGGGTATAGTTCTTTCACTTCCTGGTTAGGTTTACTCCTAGGTATTTTATTCTTTTTGATGCAATTGTGAATGGAATTGTTTTCCTGATTTCTCTTTCTGCTAGTTCTTCCTTATTGTATAGGAATGCAACAGATTTTTGTGTATTAATTTTGTATCTGCAACTTTGCTGAATTCAGATATTAGCTCTAGCAATTTTGGAGTGGATTCTTCCAGGTTTTTTATGTACAATGTCATGTCATCTACAAACAGTGACAGTTTGACTTCTTCCATATCAATCTGGCTGCCTTCTATTTCTTTGTGTTGTCTGATTGCTGTGGCTAGGACTACAGTACTATGTTGAATAAAAGCAGGGAGAGTGGGCATCCTTGTCTTGTTCCTGATCTTAGAGGAAAAGCCTTTGGCTTCTCACTGTTAAGTATAATGTTGTCTTTGTGTTTGTCATATATGACCTTTATTATGTTGAGGTACTTGCCCTCTGTACCCATTTTGTTGAGAGTTTTTATCATGAATGGATGTTGAATTTTGTTCAATGCTTTTTCAGCATCTTTGGAGATGATCATGTGGTTTTTGTCCTTCTTTTTGTTGATGTGGTGGATGATGTTGATGGATTTTTTGAAGGTTGTACCATCCTTGCATCCCTGGGATGAATCCCACTTGATCATAGTGTATGATCCTCTTGATGTAGTTTTGAATTCGGTTTGCTAATATTTTATTGAGTATTTTTGCATCTATGTTCATCAGGGATGTTGGTCTGTAATTTTCTTTTTTTGTGGTGTTTTTGCCTCATTTTGATATTAGAGTGGTGCTGGCTTCATAGAATGAGTTTGTAAGTATTCCCTCCTCTTCTATTTTTTTGGAAAACTTTAAGGAGAATGGGTATTATGTCTTCTCTAAGTGTCTGATAAAATTCAGTGGTGAATCCATCTGGTCTGGGAGTTTTGTTCTTGGGTAATTTTTGATTACCAATTCAATTTCATTGCTGGTGATTGGTCTCTTCAGATTTTCTCCTTCTTCATGGGTCAGTCTTGGAAGGTGTATTTTTCTAGAAAGTTGTCCATATCTTCTAGGTTATCCAGTTTATTAGCATATAGTTTTTCATAGTGTTCTCTAATAATTTTTTTTATTTCTGTGGTGTCCATAGTGATTTTTCCTTTCTCATTTCTGATTCTGTTTATGTGTGTAGATTCTCTGTTTTTCTTGATAAGTCTGGCTAGGGGTTTATCTATTTTGTTTAGTTTCTCAAAGAACCGGCTCTTGGTTTCATTAATTTTTTTCTGTTGTTTTATTCTTTTCAATTTTATTTATTTCTTCTCTGATCTTTATTATGTCCCTCCTTCTGCTGACTTTGGGCCTCATTTGTTCTTCTTTTTCCAGTTCCATTAATTGTGAATTTAAACTGTTCATTTGGGATTGGTCTACCTTCTTTAGATAGTTCTGGATTACTATATAGTTTCCTCTTAGAATTTTCTTCACTGCACCCCACAGAAGTTGGGGCATTGTGCTGTTATTTTCATTTGTCTCCATATATTGCTTGATCTCTGTTTTAATTTGGTCTTTGATTCATTGATAATTTAGTAGCACGTTGTTAAGCCTCCATATGTTTGTGTGCCTTTTCATTTATTTGTACAATTTATTTCTAGTTTTATACCTTTGTGATCTGAGAAGTTGGTTGGTGCAATTTTAATCTTTTTGAATTTCCTGAGGCTCTTTTTGTGACCTACTATGTGGTCTATTCTGGAAAATGTTTGATGTGCACTTGAGAAGAATGTGTATCTTGCTGCTTTTGGGTGGAATGTTCTGTAGATATCTGTTAGGTCCATCTGTTCTTTTGTGTTGTTCAGTGTGTCTGTGTCCTTACTTATTTCCTGTCTGGTTGATCTGTTCTTTGGAGTGAGTGGTGTGTTGAATTCTTCTAAAATGAATGCATTGCATTCTGTTTCCTTCTTTAATTATGTTAGTATGTGCTTCACATATGTAGGTGCTCCTGTGTTGAGTGCATAGATATTTATAAAAGTTATATCCTCTTGTTAGACTGACCCCTTTATAATTATGCAATGTCCTTCTTTGTGTCTTGTTACTTTCTTTGTTTTGAAGTCTATTTTGTCTGACACTAGTACTGCAACACTTGCTTTTTTCTTCCTATTGTTTGCATGAAATATCTTTTCCCATCTCTTGACTTTTAGTCTGTGTATGTCTTTGGGTTTGAAGTGAGTCTCTTGTAGGCAACATATAAATGGGTTTTGCTTTTTATATATTCTATTACTCTGTGTCTTTTGATTGTTGTATTCAGCCCATTTACATTTAGAGTGATCAT